GCTGCTGACTTCCGATTTCGCAATCCTCACATTATATCGCAGCAGAAGGTTGCTCAGCACTACATGCAGCTCGACTAGCGCCAGGTTCTTGCCAATGCACGCCCGCACGCCAGTCGAGAACGCCAGCATATTGGCAGGCTTCTTCTCGCCCAAAAACCGCTCAGGATCAAATGCACTCGGCTGCGGGAACACGGACGGGTTCATGTGCAGCGCCCCAATAGCGCAGCAGATCCATGTACCAGCCGGCAGAAAATATCCGCCTAGCCGCACGCCGTCAGCGGGTGCCAGACGCGGTAGCATGCCAGGCGCTGGTGGCATAATGCGGAGCGATTCAGTAATGACCGATGTCAGATATGGCAGCTGCTGGCGACAGTCGGAGAAGGAAATGACGTGGTCCTGCGGAAACTCGCTGCGCAGCTCACTGACGACTCGCCTCAGAATGTGCGGATTATATAGCAGTAGCATCAAAGTCCACGTCAGTCCCGAAGAAGTGGTGTCAACCCCTGCCAGCAGCAGTACAAGGTTTTCAGAAGCGATCTGGGAATCGCTCATCGGCTGGCACTGGTCTCCTGGAACTGTTCCAGCGTTAATCAGGTGCTGCAGGATATCCGGAACTGGAACCTGCTCTTGTGCACGTCTCTCGATAACCGCACTATGGGCAAAATCGAGAACCTTTGAAATGGTCGTCAGCCTCCACCCAACCAGCCTCGGGATCTGCTTCAGCCACGGAAACGCCATGGTGACATAGTTGATGACCCGCACACGGTTCAGCAGTGGAACTAGCTCATGCATCTCGTTCTTTAACGCATGGAAATTGCGTCCGAACGCCAATATCCCAATGGTATCGAGCGAAATCAGCGAGAACCACGAGTAGATGTTTACCACAGCCTGCCCCTTGTTGTCAGCCGCTTCAGCCAACTTGGCATCAAGCTTCTCCCGCACGGACAGAACCGTCGCTTCGAAAATCTTGTCCTGCATGCCAGTCAAGTTGCGGTGCGAAAAAGCGGCCCCTATCTGTCTGCGCCTATGCGTGCTGAGCTCCGGAGACTGTGTCGAAAATGCATTGGCTTCAATCCCCTCGGGCATCTCATAGCTGGGCGTCTTCCTGAACGTGTGCGAGCCAAGAACATGCCTGATAATGTCCGGGTCGGCAACCGATACGCGCTGAGGTGAAATCCGTACTATCGGTCCAAACTTCTGGTGCAGCTTCAGCAAAAACTCGGGCAAGTCGCCTCGTATCATATGGTACCGCATCGGAATGCTGGTTATCGAGTGAACGATTTGTCCAGGCACAGCCGACAGCGGCGTCACACACCGCTCGTAGAGAATCTTGAACAGGACAAGAATAACTGCTAGCGTTACCACTGCAAACACAATGCTGCCCATTGGTGATCCGGGGTAGTCGTCGTCGTCAAATAAAAGCCGAGTAGAGTTGCCTCCAGCACCGTTCATAGTGTGAAAAAACTATAAGACTAGTGTTGAGCAAAGGAGGCAATGCAGCACGGCCACAGGGTTGCTTTCTCTTCCTGAAGTTTGGGGTACAGCGTGTTTTGCTATTGTGGCAGTAAATGCCAATAACCTATTGTGTAGCTTTGTGTTTTACTTGTATGTAGTAGAGATGGGAAAAGGGGTTGTGGCCAACATGTCTCAGCAACTTTCATAAGGCTAGATAGCCAGTATGGCTAGGGTATTTTTAGTCAAGTCTGCTAGCGGCAGCTGAAAACATCCAATGTTGGGCAAGGATTCTAGAGTCCAGGACATGGGTTGTCACAGCTATAGCTGCTGCCTCTATACCTATAGCAACTGGGGTACTACGCTTAGTTAACGATACCAACGCTACTATTGTTCTAACCTCCATAACTCATGCTGTTTACTAGTGCCTAGTGTGCAACTAAAAAGTGATGTCTCTACAGCATAGTACTGACAGCACCTTAATTACTTGTTTTTGAAAGAATCTAGCCAAATACTAGGAACCTACAAATGTATAGCCCTATCCAGTAACTGCCTAGATGGCTTATGGCTAGACAGTGTGGTGCAAAATAATTGCAGTGTGAGATATGGACCAACCACTCAACAGATCTTAAGGTTAGGAGGCATAGTTTAAGGCTTTTCTCTAGGGGCATAGTATTGGTAAATAATGCTGAGGCAGTGATCATCTCGGTGTAGGCATTGCAGACAAGTACATGGTTGCTCAAAATGGACCGATGGACTAGATAAGCATGCAGATAACTTGGGTTGATATGATAGTCTCTGTTAACTTGGGGAATGAGTGATTATCGAATATATGGAAAAATAACTTCTCAAAATGACTAAGGGGAAGAAGGAATGCTGGTCGTCTGTCTGGGTCTTTGTACGTATGCGTTTCGGCCTTGTCTATGGTGGCGCAGGGGGACTCCGGGCCCCGAATGTCAACAGCCTCAATGTGCACATGACAGAGTCCTGTCTTGAGCTAGGCAAGACCATAGATAAAGCTGAATCTGCTGCGCAATGCAGTAAAAGGCAAATGCGAATTGAACTGAAGCCAAACAGATTAATTTGCAATAGTGGCACATTATCATAAATCGCAGACCGTTTCAGCTGAGCATTGCTTTTATTCTGTTCGAAATTAAGCTTATGCGTGAACTTCAATAGAGGCTATTAGCGGACCTGACTTGCTGCCTCCTCAACACCCAGCTGCACAGACATGGCTAGGTCCGAATGCTTGAATGCCTGGCGTGTGAACTGAATACCTGAAAATAACCCAAACACAAGCGTGCTAAATGTATACTGCAGCTGTGTGCTCAGTCTCATCGTGTGCGGCTCGCGGCGCCTGTATCTGCGACAAGCTAGGAACATAACGATGGCCTCGGCGCTGTGCACCAAGATCAGTGACCCGAGCATGAAGCGGAAAAGCCTTTGTGGCAGCACCCAGTAAACCCACAGAGTGACCAGGTTCTGCTGGTTGGTGTATGCGAAGTACCACAGAGCCAGAAATCCACCGATGGTGGCTACAACGATAGGCATGGGTGGTAGCTTGAACACAATTGGTGTACGTTCCTCCTTAGAGCTCAGTTCACGCACACGTCGCATCAGCAGTGCACGGTGTGCATCATGTGCCATATCCATGACTCGGCGCATGGTGGTCGCTGGACCCCACTGCTTGTTAATGTCAAACTTGCGCGTTTCCTTGCAAGTCACGTCGCCGTTTTTCCACGACCACTCAATAGTTATTGTGTCAATGTCGAGGTCGAGGACACGCGCGCACTGCGCCTCTGGGCAGCTGCCGTAATAGCGGACAAAATCCAGGATGTCGCGGTCATAGTGGTCATTGAGTCGGTCCAGAACATGGTCCTTCTCGGCGCTCAATGAACCATTGCTCCTGGGGTGCGATTGTTCACTATGAGCCCCGTTTGTTAGTTCAGGGATCATGGAAAAAATGATAGTTTTGTATGTATCTGAAGGAGCTTGCACTGAAGAAAAGTACAGGTGCAAATCGGGATGAAAGATAGAAGGGAGTCTATGCTAGCAGAGAAAGGGCTGATTTGTAAAATATAGCGTGCTGCAAAAATACATGAAGAGTTTCTAAAAACGAGCATTGAATTCGCAATATTCTGCTGCCTTCATATTACTACTGCAAACAAATTTACCTTGCTGCTCACCTGTAAATTTAGCTGGGGCATCTTATTCGAGTAGCCTCACTAGTTTACGGCCATGACGCCACATCGTCTGCCCTCACCAAAGCAATAAATGAAAAATGCAGTTTCCGCCATGTGTTTTTTGCTATATCGATGTGTTAATCGCTGGTATTACATGGCTATGTAGTTGGGAATTAATCGAGGCAAGTTAACATAGGAATATAAATGGTCTACTGACAAGCAAGCACGTGGAATCAAAATCATCTTTGCCAAGCCTAATCGACTCTGTCAGTGCAGCAGCGCTGACGCACCCGCAAAATAAAGGGTCCTGAAACTTCTTCAACAAAAGTAGTGACCACTTCAGATGGATATGACGAATGGCCGATGCCTCTGATCCGACGTATAAGACAAGTCATGGCAGTCCTCCTTCCTGCAGGAGATGAAAATGAGGGTATGGCTAGTGGCAGAGCCGACTCAAAATCCAAGTGGAAGAACTGCAAGCACAGTGAGTGGTGCTGGCGATGCGAATGCTTCAGGAACTCCACATGTCCTGGTTTGTATTAATGCATTAGGCTATTTTAGGGTCTCAGGTGTTGGAAATGCACTAGCCGCATGGAGTGCATCAGCCACGAGTAATACACAGGCCACGGGGAACCCACCAGCTACTGTAATCTGTATCCTAAGCACTTGGATATATCGTAGGAGATACTATCTGCAACTAGGAGCTATCAGTCAGGCTCTCATTACCCTTTGTTTCAGGCGGTATACGGGCACCTTCCATGGTGATCTCTTAGGTGCCGTATTCAAGGGCGCAGCAGATTTCGCAGAAAAGAAAACAGAGCAATAAGGAAGTAAGAGTCAGACCTTACATGTACACGTATTTTGCAAACAGAAGCAACCTTAGTGAACAGTGCGGAATGACCGAAGAGTGGGCTTCGTTGCGAGTCCGACAGAGTGAGCCACGCGGCCTTATGTCGGGGCTTAGTCGTGAAAGTCTACTAAGAAAACCCTTTGGATGTAACACAAAGGCCGTCGGCTGTCCGACAACTTCGACCCCCTACCCTTTCAGGAGAGTGCTATCGACCCAAAGAAGGCAGGTACTAGCGAGTGCAAAGGTATTGGCGACATTCCTTGGACTTCTGGGAACACTGTGGCTATTGCTGCTTGCTCATCACCGATGTTTCCAGTAATTCATTGGCTGGCCCTGTTTCCTACAGGATCCATCAATAATCATGGAATGAAGCAGTGTACATGGCTTTTGAAAGAATCATATACTGGCACGTCCGGGCACAGGTATAAAAGAAGCCATGCACAATCGTGGGGGGGGGGGGGAAGCATGAAACAAAGAGCTATACCAATCTTAGACCAGATCCAGAAATATCCAAAATGTCAAACTCACGCATCAATATCCGCATTCTGGCGAACAAGTTCTCGCCCAGTGGCCTTGCAAGCCTCGACAGCTTTAAAATCGCCACAGAGCCAGCTCCTACCAAGGACTCGCTGAAGGAGAACCAAGTCCTGATTCGCACCCTGTATCTCTCCATTGATCCGTACCAACGTGGCCGTCTGACCGGCGCAACCGACAGCTACGTCCTTCGCTGCAAGATTAACAAGCCGATCAGCAACTTGGCTCTGCTGCCGTCGAGGCATCAACCAGTGCTGGTTCGGCAGGGGGCGATATTGTCAGTACACCAGATGCCAGCTGGGAGAGCTTTTCGGTAGTCGATGCTGCCTTCAACTATAAGACATGCGGAAACTTTATCGAGGCGATCAAGAGGATAGATCCTGAGGGAGTTGACATCTACTATGACAATGTGGGTGGCGAGTTCCTGGACGCTGCTCTTGCCAACATCAACACTGGTGCGCCCTAAAAAACGTGTAAATGCGCCTTCATTTCCACTAGGGCCTTTTGCAGTCTACTTTACAATTCACGTTCTTCAACCCGCAGCTTTACTTGTTATATTGCCGCATATCCTGCTGGCAACATCAGAGACCATGTCAATATCGCGTATGACTGAATGCATGCAGTGTACTTGCGTACACATGCAGAAAGCGACAATCTTGTTAGAAAAAAGCGTCAACCGAAATACTGCACAATAAAGTAAATGCCCACACACGTAGCCAGCATACCTGCTGCCAGAATAATCTTATCCTGGGTCGTCCGCCGGTTGATATACGTGATAACTGACTTTGACAGCCCTAGAGTACTATCGGCGTTCAGGATCCTCTTATGCGCGCCCTGCAGCATCCCGCGCTGCTCGCGCAAATTGCCCAGCGACGCCACGCCCTGAGCGATGTAGTTGTCTAGTGCCAGCTCGCTACGCTGATAAAACGCATCCTCGCCTTGCGGGCCATCCATAGTAATCGCCGTATCCATGGGCTGCGAGGCGTTTGGTCGCTGGAACAGTTCAGCGCGCTCGTGAGAGTATGTGGTTTGGTTCTGCTTGTGCTGCTTTATCTTCTCAACGCGTCGTTTGAGGTTCTCGTGGTCGTCGGCCATGGCAGTTGCCCGGTCAATCATCATGCGGCGCTTGCGCTCGTTGGTGTCTTGGCGGGCCAGAATGCGGTATTCGGCGATTTTCTTGCCAAGCGTCTGCAGGTCTTGGGCAATGCCAGCCTGGAGGATCTGGGAGTCGGTGCGTGTGTCCAGTTCAAACTCGCTGACATTCTGCTTGATCTTGTGCAGAAGCCGCTGGGCGGCGTTGTACTCGCTGGTCATTGCTGTATAAAGAGTGCAAGGGTGCAAGAAATGAGCATGCTTCCTACTGTTTGGCCGTGTGACTTGCTGGAATATCACCACATGTCTGTACAGCCTCCCGTTGTGGGAAGCGAGGATCTCTGGGAAACATTCGGAGATTTGCCATTTCTGGTATCGAATAGGGAGTACAGATTTAAAGAAATGCGTTAGATGCCAGTCGTGGTAGCAGCTGCCATGGGCTTGGGCTCTGCCGGCTGATGGCCACTGCTTGTAAGCCCGCTGAGCTCAAGCCCGAACTGTTTCTGCACGTGCTCCCGCCACCTCTCCTCAGCAACAGGCGGCATTGCGTACGTATGGATGCCCTCGACAGGGAACTGGCGGCTCTTCACATCTGCATCATACTCCTGGATGGCATCAGCCATGCGCGGACCCAGATCAGCATAGCTCTGGCAGAATTTGGGCGTGAACCGGTCAAAGAACCCGACCATGTCTGATAGCACCAAGACCTGGCCGGAGGTGGCTGAGCCAGCGCCAATGCCAATAGTCGGGATTCGCAGCAGCTTGGTGATCGTCTCAGCAACCAGCGACGGCATCGCCTCGAGCACCATGGCGAAGCACCCGGCCTGCTGCAGAGCCAACGCATCGTCGACCAGGGCCTGCGCCTTGGCCACCGACTTGCCTTGCACGCGGAACCCGCCCAGCGCCACGGCAGTCTGCGGCGTCAGTCCTATATGGCCCACGACAGGGATGCCAGCGCCATTGACGATTGCGTCGATTTTGGGCGCGCCGCGCCGGCCAATCTCCAGCTTGACGGCCTCGGCGCGGCCCTCTTTGACCATGCGGATGGCATTGTTGACGGCAGTCGCCTCGTCGTTCTGGTAGGAGCCAAAGGGCAGGTCGGCGACCTGGAAGCACGACTGCTGGCCGCGTGCCACGGCCTTGCTGTGGTGCACCATCTCGTCCATGGTGATCTGGGATGTGTCGGTGTGGCCCAGGGCTACCATAGCCAGGGAGTCGCCGACAAGCGTCATGTCGATCTGCGCACGCTCACATGCCACGGATGTCGGGTAGTCGTAGGCAGTCATCATGCTGATCGGCTTATTGTCTTTGTACATCTTGCGGATCGTCTGCACGGTGACCTTTGGACGGTCTATCGTGAAGGGGCCTGCATGTTAGTTGGGATTCGGCGGGGAGATAGGGGTGGGAATATTTTGTTTGGTGAGAAGGGAAATTTCTCTTACCTGCGGTGTCACGGGCGATTGGCCGTGCGCTGTATGCACGCATGCCAAGCAGTGCGGGTAGGTTGCGGGTGTACGGCGCCGCGGCCATACCCAGGGCCGATTTTCTGGCAGTAGCTGCGGTAAGCGGGAAAGCCATTCTGCTTAATTATGTGCGTGTGCGTGACTCTTTCTGGGAAAATCAAGGCTGAACTGCTGGCGGAGGTTGTGCAGGTTCGCGTGAACAAAAAATGGCTGCTTATCAATGCGGGCCGAATAGAATGCGCTGGAGATAAGGGAGGAATTCACCGTCGATTCCGTCGGCAGAGATAACGACAAGGGTATGCAGAAAAGAAAAATGTAGGCTGTAAAGGAGAAAAAGCAAGGAAGGACGGTGCTCTATTTATGCCCAGGAGCTTTTTTCATAGATGCTCGGGCCCAGTAGGACAAAAAACCACCGCCTGTTTCTTTTTCAGGTGCTGTCTGCCTTGCCCCCAGCTGCCGACTAAAATCGGTCGATCCAGTTGGTTCAAATCCCTCCGGCCACACGCAGGCCGGGTAGGGCAAAGGTTTCCGTTGTATGAGAAAATTTATTAAATTCCACCGCCACGATAGCCGTCCAACAAAACACGTACATGTCCCTCCAATCGTTTACTTCCAGTTTGCAGCAACATTGCGAAGGAACTCGAAATCGACCATCGCCTTTTCATACACTTCGCAGCGCTCCTTATCTGGGTGGCACACTGGCATAACCGCGTACTTGGCATTGTCCGCATGTCTTGGCATGGCGCGGATAGCGCCGCCGTACGCCGGCATTGCAGGGCTCTTTGCAGTAAACGTACCATTGTCGATGATGCCAAGCGTATATACGGGAGTGCCAAACACGTCAGCGATTACCTGCCGCAGAACCGGGTTCTGTGAAGCGCCACCAGTAACAACGATGGCTGAGGGCAGTTGGCGGGATTTGCGCCGAAAGTCGAGACGCATGCTCATTGCCTGCGACTCCAGAATCATGCGTGCATCGGCAGATGTCTCGGCTGTTACAGCGAACCGGTTACTGGACTGTGGGCTCACCAGATCACCAGCATCGGAGCGCACGAACCGGTACGTGCCCTTGGTCTTGGGCAGAATCTCTGTGGCTAGGTAAAAGAACCCGAACCTGTCTGGCATCGCAGGTTCGGCAGCCATATCATTGAACTGCTGCCAGGAGACACCGGCGGAGATGCTATTGCGGATGTGCTCGCGTGCCAGCGACCCGTTCTTATAGCACAGCATTGCCATATACCGGTCAGGGTCAGTTGGATGTTGTAGCACATGGCCGTCCGTAAACGACGAGCTGGTGGGTTTGCCGGCGCCGTAAGGGTACGTGTCGAGCGACGACAGCACAGTATCGCTCGTGCCGAGGCTGATCACCATGGCGGAGCTGCGGGCGCCGGAAAGCAGCGACTCGAATCCAGCAAATGCCGACGGATTATCGCCTGTAAATGCAACAACGGGACATGGCGGCATCCCGTATTTTGCTCTAAAATACTCAGCAAGCGTGCCAATCTGTGCATCGGCCATCACGGGATGCGGCCCAAGCTTGGCACTTAGCCCTTGGTCAACGCTATTGCAGAGGTGTTCAGACCACGTCATCTGGCCAATGTCGTAGAGGTTGGTGCCCGAGGCATCGCTGGCGTCGATGGGCGCGAGTTTGCCAATTATAAGCGAGGCGGCAAACGACGATACTAGGGAAATATGGGCCACCTGGGACCAGCGGTCCGGGTCGGTCTGCTTGATTTTCGCAATCTGCGCACCCGTGAACCGCTCGAAGGCAACGGACCCAGAGATCCGGGCCAGATTAGCTGCGCTGCCCGCCGCTTGCTCCAGGCCCTTGCACTGCACAGCGGTGCTCGAATCCTCCCAGATCGGCGAGTCCATGACAGCAAAGGCATTCTGGAGCTGCTCCTTCAGGGCCGCTTTCGAATCAAGCCTGGCAAGCGACTCTATGCCCTGCTGGGTCCAGTACACACTGCCGTGCTGCTGAGCGGCACCGCTGATTCCAGCAATCCGGGATGCGTAGCCTGAGCTGCAGAGCTCGCTGAACAGTCTGTCGATGGCTTCGACCCAGAGGAGCACGGGAGTCGTGGCAGTGTCGTTGCGGATGTGGCGGCCATTGGTGGTGGCATAGGTGGGGAAGGCAGTGTCGAATGGAATGGTGGCTTCATGGATGATGTCGCCGGCAGAAGTAACGAGGATTCCCTTGAGCTGCTGCGTGCTGAGATCCAACCCCAGGAACAGAGGGTCCGGCGATGTCGTCATTGCAAAGTACGAGTCGGAATAGCGGATTAGTAATCGACCGGGAAATATAGCTCCACCTCGCGTCGATGGGCATAAAGGCGGCGCCATCGAGCAAGGGCAGTTTATGGACCAAGCACACCTTTTCTTTTTGTTTTCTTCAGCATACACTATTTCTTGAACCCGGAAATTCAGCAACGTTTGCAATGTCTATCAAGGTCGAATTTGCAGTGGACATGACGTGCCAGAGCTGCGTCGATGACATCGGCCAGATCCTCAGCAGCACAGCAGGCGTCACCGCCTACGACATCTCGCTGGCGGACAAAACGGTGCTGGTCTCAGGCACGGCCAGCCCGACACAGCTGCTCAATGCGTTCAAGGACTCTGGGCGGTCAGCCGTGGTGCGCGGGGCCGGATCAACCAACGGCAATATTGGCGCGGCTGTGTGCATTTTCGAAGAGGGCCGCAGGCTGACCGACCGGACCAAGGGCCTGGCGCGGTTTGTCCAGGTCAGCGACTCGCTGTGCTTTGTGGATATTACAGTCAGCGGAATCCCCGACGGCGACCACGGCGTGGCGATTCATGCAGCAGGCGACCTGAGCAGTGTGCCCGAGTCCTGCGGCCCGCATTGGAACCCGGACAATAAAGAGCATGGCGACAGGGATGCGGGCCACCGGGGCGACCTCGGGAACATCACGGTCAAGGACGGGTGGGGTGATTTGACGTTCGAGACGGATCGGTTCAAGGTCTGGGAGATCATTGGCCGGTCGATGGTCATTGCTGAGGGCAGAGACGACCTGAAGAGCGAGGGCAGCAGCGGCAGGGGCATTTTGGCCGGCGTGGTGGCCCGCAGTGCTGGGCTGTTTGAGAACGATAAGCAGGTCTGTGCGTGCTCGGGCAACACGCTGTGGACTGAGCAGCGCCTGGTCGACGAGGGCCGCCGGTTGTAGATGCACGTGACTTTGTCTAAAATAAACACCGCTCTAGGGGCGGAGGCTAACTCGCTCCGCATGACAGTTGCCAAGGCAACAGGGGCCGCGACGGGGTCAGTTCCTTGACAAACTGAGGGTTCTCGCCTTGTCTTTGCTTCAATTACCCTCTTTATTTGCATTTCACAAACACTGTATTTTCTCGAAATGTCCTTCAAGTTTACGGCCAAGGCGCATCTAGCGTACACGAAATCGAAGCCCGATGAGGTTGGCCTGACGCCCGGCGACACACTCAATGTGACGAATGATGAGCACGGCGAGTGGTGGGTGGGGGTGAACACGACGACCGGCGAGTCTGGGTGGTTCCCGGCGAACTACGTCAGCAAGGTGGAGGAGCACCGGACGCCGCCGCCGGCACGTCGGCCCAAGAAGCCGAAGCGCATGGCGCGCGCGCTGCAGTCCTTCGAGGCGGTCGAGGACGACGACCTGGCCCTGCAGCCCGGCGACATAGTCGAGATCATCCAGGAGACGGACGGCTGGTGCCTGGGCAAGAACAACGGCAGTACTGGCATGTTCCCGGCCGACTTTGTCGAGGAAATCGCAAATGAACCGGCTGCCCATCCGCTGCCGCCGATTCCTCCGCGTGCTGCCACCACGACGTCGCTGCCACCGCTGCCGAAAAGGACTGCAACGCAGCCGGCGAGCGACCAGCCGGCACCGCCGGTGCAGAGCCCGCCGCTGCCGCCAAGGGCCTCGGTTGACCAGGAGAGGAAGCATGAGGAGGAGAAGAAGGATAAGCACAAGTCGAAGCGCATAAGCAGGCTGTTTAGCACCAAGAAGACCAAGCCCAAGGAGCACGAGCACGAGCACCAGCACAAGCACAAGCACCAGCCGCTGCACAAGGTGCCCAGCACTGAGGGCCCTAGCGTCAGAAGCGTGCCCAGTGCTCAGAGCGCGGGTGCTGTGGATTCGTCGTCCATCCCTGATGAGGTAACGTGTCACGTGGAGGGGGATTTTTGGAGGGGGATGACGACACTGCATTTTTATTGCATGTTCAAGGAACTCGCCGGCCAGTGTTGCTTGTTTCCTAAACGCTTTTTTGTTGCTTTTATTTCTTAGGAGCCCGAGGAGAGCACTACGTCGCCTGCCATGCCCAGCCGCCCGCTACCACAGCCCAGTACCAACCCGTTTACTGGCAGACCTGCTCTGCCGCAACTGCCCAAGGTGCCGCCAGCTCCGTCGGCCGCAGTTCCGCCGCCGCCACCAGCTGGAGCTGCACCCCCCATGCTCGGCGTGTCTCTTTCCATGCAGCCGCTTCCCGCTGGAGGTATCCCTCTGGGCGCTCCGCCTGTCCTGCCGGTGCGCCGTCCATCTGCGTCGTCAGTGGCCAGTGGCACCTCAAGTGTCCGTGAGGGATCAGTGCCGCTGCCGCCGCTGCCGCAGGTGCAGCAGGTGCCCAAGACTGTCGATGAAGAGGGGGCTTCGGATGAGGGGGATGACGCAGACAAGCCCCAGAAGGAGGATGAGGCGGGTTCAGAAAAGGACGACCAGGAGGAGGGGGCGGATGAGGGTGGCAAGGATGCGGAGAGCACCGCGCCGGCCAGCAAGCCGCGCGGGGACCCGAAGCTGGCCAAGATCATCGAGGACTACGAGGCGACATCGAACGAGGAACTGAATCTGATTTCCGGTGATGTAGTCACAATCATCCATCGAGGCACAGACGACGAGCCGCGATGGAAGGGCGAGTACCACGGCAAAAAGGGATATTTCCCGAGCCACGTGGTTGAGGCGATTGAGGAGTCAGCGGGGCTGGACGAGGAAGGCAATGAGGACGAGTCTGCCGAGGGCGCTGAGGGCAAGCCCAAGGGATTCAAGCTGGCAGCGTACGGTGTGCAGCAGGGCGGCCTGGGCGCGATCTTTGCCGGCGGCGGCATGCCGATGCTGCGCAAGTCGGCGCCGTCTTCGAAGAAAGAGACAGAGGCTGAGGAGTCAGAGGATGCGCCGGTGCCGGCTGCTGCGCCTGTGATGCATAAGCTGCGCAGTGTCAGGCGCCCGCCACTCAAGGAGGAGGTCAAGGAGGAGGTGCCGAACTTTTTGGCCCAGCTGAACCGTGTGCCGCGCAAGAGCTCCCCGTCAAACAAGGAGGAGGAGGAGCCCGTGGCAGCTCCGGCTCCAGCTCCAGCTCCGGCTCCAGCTCCGGCGTTGCCCCGCAAGATGCTGTCACGCAGTAGTACTTTCGAAGAGCCTGCTGTGGAAGCGCCTGCTGTGGAGGAGCCTGTTACTGAAGAGCCTGAACAGGAAGCTCCAAAGGAGTCGGCCAAGGAACTGGCCAAGGAGTCGCCAAAGGAGTCGCCAAAGGAGTCACCTGCTCCAGCAGATGCCCCTGAGCCTGCTGCCGAGGAGCAGCAGGAGGATGAGGAGGAAGAGGACGAGGATGATGACGAGGAGATCACGCCCCACCCCGAGGAGAAGAAGGAGGAGCCGGTGGAGAAGCCTGCCACTGAGGAACCCGAAGCGCAAGAGGGGGAGGAAGAGGAGATACAGACACAGGACCGCGATCTGGACACTGAGGTCACGCCTGATCTCAGCGAGTCGAGCGAGCCAGCTGAGCAGGCATCGCCGGAGCCCAAGCAGGCAACACTGGAGCCAATCAAGGCACCCTCGCTACCGCATGTGAAGCGACTAGTGCGGCGGGCGCCGCGGCAGAAGCCAACCTCGGAGGGCCTGAAGAAGCAGGTGGAGGAGGACTCGCAGTCAAAGGCCCTGCAGAGCGCATTGGAGAAGGACAAGGATGCGCCGGTGGAGGAGCCGCCAGTCCGGGCGGTGCCGCCGCCGGTGGCCGAGAAGCCCAAGGGCCTGGGCGGGCGCAGTCATTTTGGCGGCCCGCACTTGCCTGCTGGCGGGTTCAAGGCCACAGGCCGCGTGGGCTCTGCGATGGCTGAGCGGCTGGCAGCCCTGCAGGCGCGTGCCAGCGGCGCTGTCAGCGACGAGCCAGAGGAGCAGCGGGCGCCCAGTGAGGCCCGCCGGTCGTTTTCGCCGCCGCAGCCACGCGCAGCAGCACCGGTGGTGACGCATGCGGAGCCGTCGGGCGAGTGGCAGCGGCAGGTCGAGGAGGAGCAGCGGAAGATGCGCCAGGAGGCCGAGATAGTGGCCGGGCGCCTCCGTGGCACCGAGCAGGAGCTGACGGCAAGCAAGCAGACGGTTGCTAGGCTCGAGCGTGCGCTGGAGGCGATGACGCAGAACCTCAATAAGGTGCAGGAGGAGGCGGGCCAGGCACGCCAGGCCCTGGCAAGACTCGAGACCAGCCAGGTGTCGAAGGAGGACGTCGCGATGCTGTTGAAGCGCGAGCTGCAGGCGGCGGTAGAGCCGCTGCGCAAGCAGACGCAGGAGCTGCGCGACGACAACAGCAAGTTACGCGACGAGATCAAGGGCCTCAAGACGTACATTGACGAGCTGGTTGTCGAGGAGGAGTAAGGGGGCCTCTTGAAGGTTCATTTTTTCATTTCAGTTCTCTTTTATTTGATTCCAAACATGCTTCTGTTCTAGCTGTCCCGTGCTCGCAATGCGAGCTCACCTCAATCCAAGACAAATGCTGCTCGCCTTACATTGTGGCTGGCACAGCTGGTCTGTTTGGGTTGCATCGGCTCATAGCTTATGTTATCTAAAGCGGCTGAACAGTGGCGAGTGGGCCAGACCATGGTTCAGTACTGGGGTTCATCATACAGTCCATGGTTGAGCAGGTAGGCATGTTATTTTGCAACTTCACTTGCGACTTTAAATTTAGAGACGACAAAGCGAGGAGGGGAATCAGAACGGGTTCTGCTGGCGGAAGTGCTTCATCAGGCCGTTGTTGCGCATGCCGATGGCGGTCTTGTAGTCGTGCCTCTGGCGGTACTCCTTGAACGTGGCCATGTCCTTCCACGCCTGGCGGCCATGGGGCTGGGCCATGACCAGCTCGCGGTTGTGGCTGGTCTGGACGATCTGGTTCTGGTACTCTGGGTTCTCCGCATAATTAGTCAGCATCTTGTGGATCATAACGCTGTCCTTCTCGGTGCGCAGCATCGGGATGGTCTGCTTGTAGTAGCGGCGCAACGTCCTATGTCCGATCCGCTCGCCGTTGGGCAGCACCAGCTCGCCGTCCTCCTCCTCGACGCTTCCCATGAGGCTGCGCCGTCCCGCCATCGTCTCCTCATCCAGCTCCTCGTCCTTGTCATGCTGGTCGGCGTCCGGATAAGTGGACGAGAAATCGTAAAAGTCCGAGATCTCCAGGACGTCGATTTCCTCCTCGTACGCGATCTTGCAGTGGCCCTTATCGAGCATGTGCTGGCGCACGGCCTCAAGGCTCTGCAGAGCGCGGCCGCGGCCGCTGCAGTACAGGCAGACGTTGGCGATGGAGAGTTTGTTGGCCAGGTACTGGATCAGGCCGTGCAGGTCCACCAGGTACTCGAGATCGGGGATGAACAGCGAGTGGGCCTTGGCCATGTGCTCCATGTTCTGTTCGAACGTGTCCGACTGGTTCGGGCAGAACAGGCAGTCGTGGTCGGGGTTAAGCCGCGGTGCCGCCTTCTTTTTCTTCTCCAGCAGGTCAATCACCTCCTGCTCGGTAGTGGCCGTGTTCAATTGGTGCTTGATCTGCCGCTCCTGCTTCCGGCGCTCGCGCTCCACATCCTCCTTGCTCAGCGGCGCATCCACATCCATCTTTTGCTCCACCACCTCCTCGTCCTCGTCCTCGTCCTCATCATCGCTGATGACAAACTCGCTGACCTTTGGCGCCGATTCCTCGACAACTTCCTGCTCCTGGTCCATCTTCTGGATCTCCTCGTCCTGGATCTTCTGCACCATCTTGCGCTCGGCCTCCTTGTGCTTCTTGCTATTCAGGTGGTTGTTGAAGGCGTTCTCCGAGCTGTAGGTTTTTTTGCACACGTCGCAGGTTGCCGAGAAGCTCGCGCGCTGCGAGTCGTCGGCTGCCTTGGCTTGCTGCGCCAGCACGCGCTGCGCAAAGTTCTCCGCCGTTACGCTTGGCAGTCCAACCACCTTGCGCTTCAGGTTGTAGCGGTGCCAGTCGGTGCGGTAGTGAAGGCGCTGTTGCTCGGCCGAATAGAAGGCGACCTGGCACGCCATGCAGGTGAACAGAGGCGAGCTCTGCGCGTTCATTGGGATGGAGCTGGGGGGTTGAGAGTCCATATTTTGTAAAATGAAAAAGTGTATGTGGATATTACAAAGAGAGAGAGAGATGGGGATTTGTAATCGCAGCTGGAGGTTTACGAGTTGCTGGCCGCAGGAACAAAAAATGGTACAGAGCTGCGGTTTGCAGTTTGCGGATAAATTTTCTTTCGCTGTTGATTATGTGGAGTTGATCTGGTACAGTGATCAGGAAGGAACAACGAAGAAGCAAGGCACGATTATTTTGCTGTCGGAAGAGAAAAACACACACACAAGGCACCGCTGAATTCACGCACTGCAGCGAGCAGTCAGTCTTTTCTTTGTTTTTCTCTCATCTTGCTCAATATACCTTTTCATTAGCCTCCAGGCAAAAAATATTAAAAAGCAGAAAGAATGAACGCACCGGTTATTGTTCTCAACACCAACAAACAGCGGGAGAGCGGACACAAGGCGCAAATGTCGAACATTGCGGCGGGCAAGACAGTGGCAGACGTGGTGCGGACGTGCCTGGGACCCCGCGCGATGCTCAAAATGCTGCTTGACCCGATGGGCGGGATCACGCTGACGAACGACGGGTTTGCGATCCTGCGCGAATGCGAGGTAGCGCACCCAGCAGCCAAGTCGATGATTGAGCTGAGCCGCACGCAAGACGACGAGGTGGGCGACGGCACGACCAGCGTGATAATCCTGGCGGGCGAGATGCTGGCGATCAGCGCGCCGTTCCTGGAGCGCAAGATCCACCCGGTGGTGATTCTGCGCGGGTTCCAGCGGGCGCTTTCTGACGCGCAGGAGATCCTGCGGCAGATTTCGGTTCCGGTCGACACCAGCGACCGTGACCAGATGCTGA